TGCGCGCATGCACGGGTCGTTTAAACCAAAATAATCGATGATCGAACTACCTGTTCCACCTCGGCACGTGTACAACTTAGTGGATACTAGCGTGAGACCCGCAAAGCTACAGAAACCTGAATCCTCAACTTCATCTGGAGACATGTTCCAGTCGCCGCCCACTATACGGAGGGAGGGAGGGAGGGAGGGAGGGAGGAGGAGATGGAGGAGGAGGAGGAGGAGGAGGAGGAGGAGGAGGAGAAGGAGGAAGAGGAGGATGAGGAGGAGGAGGAGGAAGAGGAGCAGGAAGAGGAGGAGGAGGCGCAGGAGGACGAGGAGGAGGAAGAGGAGGAGAAGGAGGAGGACGAGGAGGGATGAGTTGGAGGAGGAGGAGGAGGAGGAGGATCAGAGTAAACCCAAGACGCACCAACAACGTAGGAATCTACCCTCCCTCCACGCTCCCTCTTCATAGGCCCCTACAGGGATTCAATTCCAGTGAGGACAGTGCCCCATTGGGGAAAGTGCCCCATTAGTGGACAACCGTTTGAAGATCCAGAAGCTCGCCAACATATTATCCTAGGGACCGCTATATACACCACGAATCAACCTCACTGTGTCGTCTTGACGATCCTGAATCGTGCCAGGACACTACTCCTGGGACTTCAGCACCGCAAATCAACGTAAGTGTTGTGCCCTGGCAGTCGTGAATTTTTCCAGATCACAACTTCTAGTACGTTGACCATTGGAATCTGTGAAACTCTTGCAAATGTGTAAGACGAGTGTGCACGGCGCTAAGTCGAGAGCCTACTTTTGAAACGACCTACCTTTAACCCTTGAAGCTCTCACCGTTTTTGAAGACGAATGTGCGCGTCGCTAAGGCGAGAGCCACATTTTTAAAACGACCGGCCTGGTTGAAAGACGACTGTATGTGGCGCTAAGACGAGAGCCACATGACAAAACCGCCCGCCTTCCATGTGTGAAACTGTTGCTACTTTCAAAACTTTAGGATCACAGATGGTCAGGAAGTCTCAGGGGAAACGCCCGGCCCGCCCTTCCGACTGGCCTCGGGGTGCGACGGGGAGGAGTTATTCACAAGGAGAAGGAATGGAGGATGAGGGGGGGAGGGGAAGGGAGGAGGAGGAGGAGGAGGAGGAGGAGGAGGAGGAGGAGGAGGAGGAGGAGGAGGAGGAGGAGGAGGAGAGGAGGAGTAGGAGGAGGAGGAGGAGGAGGAGGAGGAGGAGGATGAGGGGGAGGAGCGGGAGAAGGAGGATGCGGCGGCGATTGTGATGACTGCCTGGCGCTGGCTGGCGCATCGTTGCGACCGCGCTACCGAGCGCGGGCTCGCGCGCAGAGCGGCCGGCTAGTCTGGCACGACCGCCGCGGCCGCTCTGACGCTGACTGCTGGTCGCTTCCCAGCGCGTCCCGCTGGCCGCGCTGAAGCGCTGACACTTCAGTCCGAGTCGGTGGCTCGGGCGGGCGCGGTATCATGGCGACGTCGCCGATGGCAGACGCGATGGTGATCGTATCGGTGCTGGTGGCGACGATGGACAGTGACGACGGAAAGGCCAATGACGGCGCCGATGCTGTTCGCGCCGATGACGATGATGGCTTCGCGCGTCGGCGATGAATTTCGCGGAATGATTTCGGCGCGCGCTCGCGGCCGACGGGCGCGAGTGGCCCGCATGATATAATTCAGAGAAGGATCGTGCCCCCCCCAGCGTGTGCGAGTAAGTGCGTTCGAACGATTTCGACATGCGCGAGGGGCCCGTTCGGCGGAATTTGGGGAATCTGTTTGGGAAACGACGGGCTTCTCAAGAATTCACAAGAACGCGGGAGCAGACATTTTGCATAGCTCCCCTTGCGTTTTTTTTGGTTTTTGCAAAACAGTGCTTTCGGGGAGCTCGATTCCCAAATCCTTGCGACGCCGAAGGCTTTTGGAATTCCGCATGCGCCCGCGACGGCGCGCGCGTGTATGCACTTCGTCGTTTGTTGTTTGTTTTCTTTGTTCAGCAGGGGTTCTTGAACGTGCAGTAGTTTTGATAAGCGGGTGTTCGTACATTTTTTCTGTACATGATTGTGGTGATGAGGGGGGAACTTTGTGGAGCTGGCGTTGTATGAAGTCGTTGTTAACACGAACGATGTCGCACATCATATGTGCAATGCCCTTCCCCGGGGTGGTGGTGGTGGCGGGTGATCTTGCATTCGGAGAGGAGGGTGGGAGGGGCGTGGCGCGCGCGCGTGGTGGGGCGGGAAGAGGAGGAAAAGGAGGAGGAGGTGGCGGAGGAGGAGGAGGAGGAGGAGGAGGAGCAGGAGAATGAGGAGGAGGGGGGGAGGAGGACGAGGAGGATGAGGAGGAGGATGAGGAGGAGGAGGGGGAGGAGGAGGAGGAGGAGGAGGAGGAGGAGGAGGAGGAGGAGGAAAAGGGAAAGGAGGAGGAGTAGGAGGAGGAGAATGACCGTCACCGGTGAGACCTTGCGTCCTCACGATGTGAGGAGCTCTCATGGAACTCGGTTGGGCCGTCTCGAGGCTGTCTTGGCCTCCCGTGAGGCAGTCTTTTGGGTCCCTTGGGGCCCTCTTGGGCTGTCATAGGGCGCTCTTATGCTGTCTTGGGGTCATTCTGGGCCGTCTTGGGGCCATCTTGGCCGCATGGCGGTGGACGTCTTGTGCCCAGAGGCCGTCTTGGGGCCGTCGAAGGGCCTCTCTAAGGCCGTCGAGGGGCCTCTTGAGGCTGTCTGGGGTCGCCCCCTGCTCTGGGGGGGTGTGCAGAAGGGCGCCCCGTGCGCTGGGTGGGCGCGCCGAGGCTGCGCCACGTTGCCACCCGTGCTGCCCCGTGGGGTCTCCTCCTCCTCCTCCTCCTCCTCCTCCTCCTCCTCCTTCTCCTCTACAATTACTCAATATGAATACTCCTCTCCCTCTTCCCCTGATGGCGGCCTGGGAATATTCGCCCCCCCCCGCGTACTGTTTTTTTACACAGGATTCCCGGGAGTTGGGTTTTCGCCTGCATTTTTTTTCAAAATGCTGCTCTCGCTGAGGCGCCGGCCTATTTTTGCTCCCGAATCGTTCCGAATCGTGCTCCCGCTGCAGCGTGGGCTCATTTTCGGATCGGTGTTTTGCCTCCGTCGTTCAGGATGGCGTTCTCGCCCCAGCGCGGGCCTCTTTCTCGCGCGCCCATCCGCCCGCCACCACCGCGCCGCACCACGCCCCGCCCCGCCGCACGCACACCCACCGCCACTTCCACCCACCAACGCACGCACGCACGCACGCGCACCACCACCGCGCACCGCCACCACCACCGCACTACCCCACCCACCACCACCACGCTACACCGCGTCACACCACATCACACGCGCGCACACACAGACACACACGCACGCACGCACGCACACACGCACGCACGCACACACACACACACACACACACACACACACACCACCACGCCACCACCACCGCCATCACGCACGTACGCACCTGGCCCACCACCAAACCACCAAGACGCCACACCACGTCACACCACAGCACACGCGCACACACGCACACACACACACATACACACCACCACCACAACAACCACAACCACGCACACACGCACGCACGCACGCGCACCACCACCCACTACGCACACGCGCGCGGAGCCACAGGTCCGCTACGACACGCGTCCGCGGATAGAGAAAATCAGCGCCATGGTAAGGGATGGGATGGAGGGGTAGGATGTCAGATGTTGACGCGAGCGCACCTAACTTGTCCTCCTCCCCCTCCTCCTCCTCCTCCTCCTCCTGCTCCTCCTCCTCCTCCTCGTCCTCCTCCCCCTCCTCCTCCTCCTCCCCCCCTTCCTCCTCCTCCTCCCCCCGTGCGCTGAGCTTGCACCGCGCAGCTTGCACGACGTAGCTTGCACCGCGTAGCCTGCACGGCACAGCTTGCACGACATGAACTCGGCCGCGTCCTAGCTCACCCCTAGCTCACCCATGCCTCACAGCCAGCACGGCACGTCGTGCACAGCACAGCTTGCACCACAGCACCACCCAGTTTGCACCGTGTAGCTGTCGCCTCCACAGTGCAGTGGCTCAATATTCGGGGCCCGCGCTCGCTAATAAATGATCATTTCGATGCATAGGTATCGCTGTACACGCATATTTCGAAGGCCTTACGGCTGGTGGACCCTGAAGGCGGGACCTCCCCTGGGCCCCCCCTCCCCAGGGACCTGCCGGATTCTCCGGGTGGGTGGGTGGTATTCTGACGCGGGACCCCCTCCATCCCCCCCACCACCCCCAGGATCTCCCCCCCCCCCCTCGGGCAGGGAGGGGATAAAGAGAAGGGAATCGAATTAACTACGACGTTCCTTTTACTGAATCCTCATTTTCCTTGGAACTGACGACGACGACAACGACGACGACGACGACAAGCGTCTCACACTCGCCGCCGATTGGTCGGCGGATTTTTAATTATATATCCATGTATATATTTATGTAAAATGACAGAGGGTGATGTCAGAACACATCGACATGGATCTATATATATATATATATATATATATGAACCGTGATATACACATATTGGGAATCGACAGGTTGGACCGATATATTGGGATACCCATCGATTGATATCGAGATTGCTTGGTAGATGTATCGCTCATCCGATTCTTCGCCAGTCGCAAACACCGAAAGCTGTATCCATTTCTCCCACCCAGCTCTCTTATCATCCGAATTGTGGTCCCACAGGTATCTCGTGGTATACTTTCGCGCAGGGCGTCCTCGCAACATGCCATCCGGGGGCAGCCGTGCCACGAGATTTCACGCGGACCTCTCAGGAAATGGCCAGACATGGTTTGCCCTTTCAAAACCTGGTCAGACATGGTCAGACGCAATACATGGACAGCATGGTCGAGAAGTCCCGCCAGGCCTCCTGGGAAGCCAGTATGATTCAAGTCGTGCGCCATTCATGCAAACACGTGGGATAGAGCAAGGCAGGGGACCAACCTCATGCCCGTTGCCGCTTAAGGATACATGCGTTTGCCGTCCTCCCAGGTGGAGAGCATCGACTGCTCCGAGCTTCTCTTCGAGGACTGCCCAAAGTCGGAGGACCTGAGGCCTCTGCGCCGCCCACCTTGGCCGCCGCTGTCGCCGCCGGCGGTGTCCAGACTCCCACCGTGCTCTCGGGATCGGTCGGGTCGCTCCGGGGCTGCGTGAATCCTCCTCCTCCCTCTGCCTCGGGTCGGTCGCAGCTCTGCCTCCTCGTCTCCTCCTCAGCCCTTCCCCCCCTCCTCCCTGGCCGGTCGCAGCGCGGCAGGGTCCCCTTCCCTCGGCCGAGCAGCCGGCATGCTGCGACTGCCCCCAGGGGCTGCGTGAGCCTCCTGGCATTCCAAGTCGCTCAGTGTGCGTGGGGTAGGGTCGCAGGTCTAGATATTGATTTCAGCACCAATATCGGCATCGTTCCTCCACCGAGGGAAGAGGATCCCGATCTCGGTGATGGTGGTAACATTCTGGCTGCCAAGGTGACCGAAAACATCACCACCAGCACCGAAATCTAGGATCATCCTCCCCCCTGTGGAGGCAACCCCCTTCGTTGGTGTTGGTGCCCATGTCCAGGCCTCCACGGGGGGGTGGGGGGCGGGGGCAGCCAAGACGCTGAAACCAGGAACACCTAGGGCTCGGAGGGGGCCCGATGCTCCTCAGGTCCTCCCACGGCTGCTCCTCTGACGCTCCTCGCCCACGCAGGCGCTCTTGGGCCACGCAGCGGGGGCTGCTGAAGGCGCCCCCTGGCCGGAGGTGCCCCCAGTCTTTCGCTCATTGTTGGAGCCCCCCGGGGGACCTCTGGGCCTCGTGAGGGGTGCCCTGGAGGCCGCGGGGGGCTTCCTCGGAGATCCTGGGGGCACCGTGGGCCAGGGGCACTCCTCGCAGGACGCCCGCAAAGGGGGGCTGCGTTCCTCGTGTGGCGTTCCCGCTCTCGGCAGCCCGACCGGCAGATCGCGCGGGCGGCAGCAGAGGGCTGCCCCTTCGCGGGACTCGTGCGACGGGCCTGTCTCTCACCACCGCCACCACCAGGAGTTGGAGGGGGGGAGGAGGAGGAGGAGGAGGAGGAGGAGGAGGAGGATGGGAGAAGGAAAGGGGACAGGAGGAGGAGGGAGAGGAGGAGGAGGAGGAGGAGGAGGAGGAGGAGGAGGAGGAGCAGGAGGAGGAGGAGGAGGAGGAGGAGGAGGAGGAGGGAGGAGAGGAGGAGGAGAGGCGGAGGAGGCAAGGAGGAGGAGGAGGAGGAGGAGCGGGGAGGCGGAGGAGGAGGAGGAGGAGGAGGAGGAGGAGGAGGAGGGGGAGGAGGAGGAGGAGGAGGACCCCCTCCCCCTCCAGCTTATGGTGGTGGTGGTTGTGGTGGTGGAAAACGGGCCCATCTTTGTGGGACTGGACGCCGCATGGCTGGTGGGGGGGGGGGCGTCGGCGCACGCGGAGTGGCCAGCGCGGGCTGCTGGGCGGGGCGGCATGCGGTCCCGCTTGCGAAGCAGCCTGGGGCTCTCCCTCTACACTCGCTTGCGTCCGATGCCCTCGCCAGGGCAGAGGGCCCCCCCTTTTCGAAAGCGGGCTCCCGTCCGACTGGCGGGCCCGCGTGGCGCTCGTCTTTCGTGAGGGCGCTCCCCGCAGTTCGAAAAGGAAGACATCGGCACAAGCATCAATTCTCGGAAGTCGCGCGGAGCTCCGAACATGGATGTTCATGTTTTTTTCTTCCTCTGTGCCCTCCGCGGAAGTCGAACGCATTTTTTGTCGCCCCCCTCGCCTCCCCAACTCCAGAGATCAGCGACGTGCGCAGCGCGACCCGCGGGGTCCGGAGACAGGTGTACGTCGCCAGTTTCGGCACGAACATTGATATCGGGGGCCCAGGGACGCGCCACGTCGCGGAGCAAGCATGTGCGTCCTTGACCTCGCGGAGGGCTGCAGCAGTTGGACAAGGAGAGCTTGCAGGGAGGCCTACGGTTGGGACCGGGGGACCGGAGGTCGGAGGTTGACAGACCTCCTACCCTGACACGTCGATTGGCGAATTGGCCGTTTTCGGTTCGCGAGAGGGCGTCACGGCCGTTATTTTTGCGGGTCCAGGTCCGTCGGTTTCGGTCCCAGGCCGTTTTCACTCAAGGGAGGTTTACTAACTAAAGGGAGGTTTGTCCACCGCCGAAGAGGGCGCGTGGCCGCACCGCTGGCGCCTCCTGGGCTTCCTCGGCCCTCCTCCCCGCGGCTCCTCCTCGACCCCGCCGCCCCTCCTCCTGCTGCTGCTGCCGCAGCTCCAGGGGAGCCTCGGGCGGAGTCCTCGCCCCTGATCCATCGTTCCCCTAGGTCAGCGCCCCGGCTGTGTGCACGTCCGCTGCGCCTGGCCAGGCCCCCCCTGGGCCCCCGGGCGCGGTGCACACGTGTGCTTCCCCGGCCACGGGGCACGCCGGGAGGGCGCACAGCTCACCGCTCCTGGGCCCAGGACGGGCCTGGAGCGGGGCGGCGGATGCAGTCAGGTCGCCTCCTCCTCCTCCTCCTCCTCCTCCTCCTCCTCCTTCTGCTCCTTCTGCTCCTGCTCCTGCTCCTGCTCCTGCTCCTGCTCCTCCTCCTCCTCCTCCTCCTCTCCCTCCTCCTCCTCCCCTTCCTCCTGCTCATGCTCCTGCTCCTGCTCCTCCTCTCTCCTCCTCCTCTGCTCCTGCTCCTCCTCCTCCTCCTCCTCCTCCTCCTCCTCCTCCTCCTCCTCTCCTCCTCCTCCTCCTCCTCCTCCTCCTGCTCCTGCTCCTGCTCCTGCTCCTGCTCCTGCTCCTCCTCCTCCTGCTCCTGTCCTCCTCTCCCCTCCTCTCCTCCTCCTCCTCCTCCTCCTCCTCCTCCTCCTCCTCCTCCTCCTCCTCCACCAAGGTAACCCTTGCATCCTTGCCCCTCCAGCCCGGCCGCGGCGGCTTTCGCTGGCCAGCCCCGCTCGAACGCGTCAACATGGCCCTCCGAGGCCCTTGCATCCTTACCGCGCATCCTCAGTATGCGACTTGACCGGATGTGTAGATCTCGTCGCCCCATCTCGCACCCCCCCTCCCTTTTGGAGGAGCGGTGCGGAGGCAGAGGGGCCTCCTCTCCGCGGTGCCGCGCCCGCCGCCGGCCAGTGCCGCGGGCTTCACCGCAGACCTGCGGGCGATCAACCCGCGCCTCTGCCCGCCGGCGACGTGCGGGGCGGGGGGGGAGGGAGAGGGGGGGGGGCGGGGGAGGGGAGGGAATGGGGGAGGGGGAGGAGCAGTAAAGGGGGCATGTTAGAACGTGGCCATGCGACTGGCTGAGCAATGCGATTTAGGACTTCCAGTGGTGCATGTTAATCGAGTGCCTCAATTGTTTGGCTTAAGTTTGCCTTCTCGTGAGAAAGCTCCCGCCAGATTTCCATGGTAGCGGAGTCCGTGGTTCGCCCCACGGGTTCCGGAGCAGAGATGGCAGCGGCGGCCGCTGCGGCGACCCCTGTGGACCCCGGCAACAACGACCCGAGTTACAACGTATCGTTACCTGAGGTACGCGAAACCTGGTACAACCTAGGCACGAACAGGTTTGCAGAACTATGCAATGCCTGGCACGAGAACGGGGACTTAAGGTACGTTGCCGCCGCCATCACAGCCAGCTGCAAAGGGATGACGCCGTCCTTCGAGCGCAGTGGCACACTTGGCACCAGGACGGTTTACGACTTATGAGGCATGCACGATGTTGCAGATGAGCTACAATATGAATATCCTTCTGATCTCGGTCATGAATCGCAGCATGTATTGCGAGGACTTGTTCGACAACTCAAGAGAACACGTTCGTACAGAACTCCAGCGTCAAATGAACGCCTAAGATCATGCTACCAATATCGCCGAAACCATGCATTCCGCCGGAAGCACGAGGCCCAAAATATGTGGAAACACCCTCTTGCTAATTTCTTTCGAGCCCCATCCTTTTCCCTCCCCCTTCCATCCGTCCTCTCTTCTCTTGTTTTAGTGGCTGCATTGAAAGCGCGTGGCAGGTAAGGAAGGTATGCTCCCAAGGGGGTGCGATCGAAGACGAAGAGGGCGGGTATCGAGGGTCTGGGACAGACGTGTTGAAATGCACGCGAACAGATAGGAACGAGCCGTCTCAACATTAATATTTATGGTTGTTCGTGCCGTTGTTTCTTCTCGTACGTCTTCCAATCGGAGCGTTTTTGGGTTTCCCAGGCTATGCTCTCGCTGCAGCACGGGCCTCATTTTCGGATCTGCGTTTTGTTCCCGTCGTTCATAGTGGTTCTCTCGCCACAGCGCGGGGCACGCTTCTCAATCCGACTCCTTCCTTCTCGTTGTCTTCCCGCTGTTTTCCCGTTCTCCGCCTTCTCATGGTCCTCCTCCTGTTCGGTCTCCTCCCATGATTCCCACTCCTGCTCCTTCGGCTGCTGTTCCTCCTCCTCGTGCCCCTGCTTCATCTCTCTCGTGTCTTCCTCCTGCTCATCCTCCAGCTCATCCGCCACCTCCTCGTCCAAAATACACAGCCCCCCTCGTGCTGTAGATGGCGCATGCCACGATGGTGTCCTTTTTTCGGGCGTTCTGGGCCCGCTGTGTCGCCCGTCGGCGGATAGAGGGAACCGACCATGTTCTTTGGGTGGAGGGCACAGGGTGAAATCCGAAATGCCGCTTCGATGGATTTTCGAGGCTTGAATCTGCAAAGGGTGAATCGCAAGACGGATTGACTTCCGGATTCCGAGGAGCGAAAGCCCATATGTATTCCACCCTGGGCTTTCCGCCCCAAGGAAAATGCGCAGAAAGGAACGTTCGTCGCCATTGGAAAGGAAGGGCTGTCAGATATGTCTCCGGCGCACCTGACTTGTCCTCCACCTCTTCGGGTGTTGCTAAATATACCCCTGGCCCAAGGTGCCCTTAGAACTCTCGGGGTGGCCCAGACGGCCTCCAGGGCACCCTTCACGAGGCCCGTGGGGCCCCAGGGGCTCCAAAGTGGAGCGAGAAGCTGGGGGCACCTTGGGCCAAGGGCACTTCTAGCAACACCCGACCTCTCGCCCCTCTCCTCCCGCCCCTCTTCCGCTGCCGGCCCGTTCTCGTGGCGCGCCCCGCCGCGACCCCCGTTCGGCGGTACCCTTCGCGCCTGGGCGGAGGCGGACCGGCAAGATGGCCGGGTGCTACTCGCCATGCATGCTGCTCCAGGACGCCTTCCTCCTTCCTCCCCCAAATCCTCGTCGCTCCCGCTCCCTTCCCCCGCGTTTCTCTCTCCCCCCTTTCTCCTCGCTTCTCCTCGCTCCTCCTTATCCTCGCTTTTTCCTCGCTTTCTCCTCCTCCTCCTCCTCTTCCCCTCCTGGTTCCGCCGCCTCCTCCTCCTCCTTCCTTGCTCCTGCGCCTCCTCGTGCCCCTCCTCCCTTCTTTGTCTTCGCTCTTCCTCGACCCCGCTGGGCTCAATCTTTTTCTTTGTGGTCTTCCTCCCCCGCTCGTCCTCCCCCATCCCTCCTCCCGCCCACCCCCTTCTCCCCCTTTCCCCCCTCCCTCCTCCACATCCTCTTCCTCCCTCCTCGCTCCCACTTCCCCTCCCCCTTCCTCCCGCCCCCCCCCCCGTTCGCTCCTTCTCCCGTCCTGCCTCCTCCTTGCATTCTCCTCCCCCCCTTCTTCTCTTCCGCCCGCGCTGCCTCTGGCGCCCTCCCGCCCCCAGCCTCCCGCGCCTGCTCCCCGTCCGTTCCCCCCCCCCCTTTCTTCGCCCCCCTCGCTTTCGGCGCCCTCCCTGCTCCACAAGGGGGCCGCCCTCGAACTGCGCGCGTCGGGCCAGGACGAGAAGTGGAACAACAGCCGTCCGCACGACTTCGTGAGGAGCGTCGGGGTACGGCGGGCAGACAGCCAGCGGCAATTGCGAAGGGAGGCGGCGGAGGAGGAGGAGGAGGAGGATGAGGAGAAGGATGATGATGAGGAGGAGGAGGATCGGCATGGTGATGATGGTGATGATGGTGATGATGGTGATGATGGTGATGATGATGATGATGATGATGATGATGCTGATGATGATGATGATGGTGATGATGGTGATGATGGTGATGATGATGATGATGATGATGATGATGATGATGATGATGATGATGATGATTTTGATCATGGGGAGGATGAGGATGAGGATTCGGATGATGATGAGGATGAGGATGAGGAGGATGAGGATTATGACGACGATGACTATGTCGATGTCGATGACGATGACGATGATGCTGATGATGCTGCTGATGATGCTGATGATGATGATGATGATGATGATGATGCTGATGATGATGACGATGCTGCTGCTGATGATGCTGATGGTGATAGTGATGGTGGTGATGATGATGATTCTGCTGATGGTGATGCTGATGCTGATGATGACCACGATGATGCTGCTGAGTATGTTGCGGCGGAGGAGGAGGAGGAGGAGGAGGAGGAGGAGGAGGAGGAGGAGGAGGAGGAGGAGGAGGAGGAGGAGGAGGAGAGGAGGAGGCCGCCGCCCTCGTCGTCGCACACACCGCCGTGCCCCGCCCCTGGCCGCGCCCAGCAGCGACGAGCACGTGGCCCCGTACTGCTGCCCCACCCCGCCGGAGACGCCCGAGGCCCGACGGGCCCGCCGCGCCCTCTGCCCCAGGCGTTCGGGAGGGGGATAAACACACAGACGCAATGAATCTCGCAGGCCTAGAGGTTGACACCAACACCAAGATCGGCGGCGTTCCTCCACCGAGGGAAGAAAATCCCGATCTCGGTGATGGTGGTAACATTCTGGCTTCCAAGGTGACCGAAATATTACCACCAACACCGAATTCTAGGATCGTCTTTACCCTGTGGAGGCAGCCCCGTGTCTTGGTGTTGGTGCCCATTTCCAGGCCTCCAAGAATCGTCGATCCCCAGGAAAAATGCGGGGAAGTGTGGAAGTGGGGAGGGGGAGGGCAGAAGCCCAGAACCTGTGGGAAAGTCGGGGGGAGTCCGGTAACAGTCGTGTGTATGTATTTGCGTGTCCCCGCTAAGTCTCGACCGGAAGAGGTGCGTTCTCGACCCGCGAATCAAAACGTGTATTTGTGTGTCCCGCAGGGCCCCATCAGACGTGCCCGCCGCGCGCCCTCGGCTTTGCGAGTCCGCGGGCGACAGGTGAGCGACGCAGGAAGACGGGGGTCGTCTTCGCCGACGTTGTCGCGTATCCATCGCTCGTTGAAGGTCGTTTTCATTGGACTCCCAGATTCCAATCTACTTTACATGCCTTCCTACTTCAATGATCGAGTGGCTTCACCTTTTCCGTCCTCCCAGCGAAACCCAGTCTAGTTTCAACGCCTTCCTACTTCATGTTTCTACCTACTTCTTCCGACCGATGGGTAACCTCCCCGCGTAAGGTCGCGCGTGAGCGCCCTCGTTGCCCATGCGGCGTGCCGCGCTGGCGGCCCGCGCAAGCTGCGGCACCAGGTCGCTGCGTCATCGCGCGCAGGCCCCATGTTTGATCGCCGCCCAGGTGGTGCAAGACTGTCAGGCGCCAGTCAAAGCAAGCGGCGGGGCGCACCGGAGGCGAAGGGAGGCACGAGGGCGACAGAGA